TTTTTTTAAATGGGCCGATAATTGGATTAGTAAGGAGGATGTGATTTAATTTGGGCCCACTCTTAGTCTTCACTCAAAATTACAAAGCCCATAGGAAGGTTTTCGCCCCATTGGGCTCATTAAATGGTTTACGGCCTAAATAGAATAAAAGAATGGATTTTATGGCTTACTAGGGTTAATTGGATTAGTTATGGCCTAATAAGGCCCATTAGGGTTAGAATGAATCATTCTAGGCCCAAATGGTCTAAAATGTTATAGATTTGCGAATTGGGTCCATTTAGAATCCAAAAAGGGTTTCCAAGCCCAAAATAGTTGAATTGGATGCTTATTGGTCCATTAGGCTCAATAAAGAAATCCTAGTCCAATATGGACTCAAACCGGGATTCTTAGGGTTTTCAGACTCTTTGTTGAACATGAAAAATGAATTTAAATGAGCACTGAGTGATATTTACTTAGAGTATATGTTTTACATTAGTTGAATGGTTACACGAGAATGGAATATCCTAGCTAAAATGCTAGTTGTGACACCATTTTTTTTTAAATATGATGACTTTTTTAATGAAAACCGGAAGATTGTAGTGTAGTATAAAATAAGGTAGTGAATGGTATTTATATCGGTTGAAAAGTAGGTAAAAATTTGAATTAGAAAAACAATATTAAATTAAAAAACGGTAATAATTTTGAAATTTGAATTAATCTCCCTTTCTCTTTCATCAATATCCCTTTCTCTTTCATCGACATTAACTTACCGAAATTGGCAACTGAAACTCGACATCCGAGTTAGAAGGTGCCTTTCCTTTATTCTTGGGTTCCGGATGACGTCGAATCTCTTCTGACTCGTAATCCAGTTCGGGTGTGTCTTCTGGTTGTGATTGAGTTTCGAAATGGGTTTAGGTTTAAGTTTGGGATTGGAGTTGGAATGGCAAGTCAGGAAGGTGGTAGAATGGGTTAAACTCATTTTCCATAGTTGAGATTGAAATTGAAATTGGTGTTTGAATTGAGATTAATTGTGGTTGGGTTTGAATAGGATATGGATATTATACACTGGGATAATGGTAAGTAGGAGGTGAATAAATAGGGCTATCACTTTGATTTTGGGTGAAGTTATGTGATAAAGGTGAGATGAGGTTTCTATTATCGGTATTTTTCATGGTAGTTTTTAGAGTTTGTGGGTTGAAAGGGGAATCTATTTTTCACAAATATGATGAATTTTTGAGAGAGAAATGGAAGATTTTAGTGTGGCATAAAATAAGATAGTGCATGGTATTTATATATATTGGTTGAAAAGTAAATAAAAAATTAAATTTAAAAAATGCTATAAATTAAACAAACATTAACAATTTTGAAATTAGAATTTACCTCTCTAAGCTTGGCCATAAAACAGGTCATGCAGATTTGGTATCATGGTGTTTACCAAGGATATTTATTGTAATTATCACATTAAAATAGTATGTGGAATTTAATAAAATAGAAAATCAAATAAAATGGCACATGGAAAAAAATTAATTCAAAATAACCTTAAAAATGACATTTGACAAATTAAATGAAAGTGTGACAAGTGGTAAAAAAAACTTTCATTTATTAGAAAGGATATGTATGATGTATTTGGTCTTATGAGGTCCATTATATTTTGTATGTATTAGGCTCGATCCTCTTTTATGTATTTTGTATTTATATTAACTAGATTATATCCCGTGTAAAACGCAGGGAAATGTATAAAAAAAACATATAAAGTCATAAAATACAGTAGTTAATAATAGTAATAATAACAATAATAATAATAATAATAATAATAAACTAACATAAACAGACTACACATACAGAGGCACACAGTTGAGTTGATAGAGACACACACACATATATATATATATATATATATATATATATATATATATATATATATATATATATAAAATAAGAAAAAAAAATATAAAACAGTAAAACAGTAAACTATCTGTAATTTATTCTCCGAAAACTTGAATTGGTAAGGGATAACAATTCAATTATTCTTCAACGTAATCTATAATTTTATAATTTTTATGTTTACATGGCGTATAAAAATGATTACACCCGATTACCATTTGCCCTCATTCAAGCATGGGCTAGGGTTAAAATAACTAACCTGGAGGCAAAACTTCAACCTTCTTACACTGCAATCAACAACACAATCTGCAATTAACCAAATTAAGACATTCTTGAATAACTAAAACATTGTACACTGGAAGTATAATCTTGTAATTGAATAGCTTTTTCAAATTACAACAATGAATACCGAAAATGCAAATTAAGTTGTAGAATATTGAAATTATTCAACACACAGTTTCTGCAATCAAATTATATAAAAAAATATGAAATAAATATTGACCAATTAGGAAAATTTTGATCAAAACAATTTAGTTATATACCCCTTCAATTTGGATTAGACACTTGAATCATATTATATAAATTCAATAAATATTCAAGTTTATATAAAATTCTTAGACACGGTATTCTAAAATTATAAACCTACTTGACTTTGGGCATCGATAATAAATTTCATTTTGTTTCCTTTCAAGATATTGTTTTTTTTTAAAACATAACAATTTATATCATTATACTCTAAAGAGCATTCGTACAAACTCAAGAATCACCTTTCGGATTTATGTCTCATAAAATTTTTAAATGTTATTTTCCATTATATTCAATTTGTTTTCTTTGCCACTTGCTAATAATGTTTTTTTTTATATTAATTTAAGGAGTCTAGTTTACATCAAAGAGTGGTGATAATGATAAGAACTTAACTGGAACTTGTAAGTATTGTGGATGTGACAATAGTGTCCAAAAGAATAAAATTATATGAATGCTCCATGTTAAACCGCAAGGGCCAAAAATGTAATATTTTTTTTAGTTTTTAATAGAGTAAATTACACGAATGGTCCCTATGGTTTGGGGTAATTTACACGTTTGGTCCCTAACTTATTTTTTTAACTCGGAAGGTCCCTATTGTTTGTTTTTATTACATGTTTGGTCTCTACTTTGTGTTTTTGTTACGTGCTTGATCCCTATCTTACCTAAAAATACTATTATTTAAATAGGAAAAAATAGTGGGGTAGGTAAGGTAAGGTGAGAGAGGTGGGATTGTGGGTGTGTTTATCTAAATAAATTAAAAAACCAAGGGAAAAATAGTCTTTTTAACTAAGACAGGGACCAAACGCGTAACAAAAACAAACAGTAGGGACCTTCCAAGTTAAAAAAATAAGTTAGGAACCAAACGCGCAAATTACCCTAAACCATAGGGACCATTCGTGTAATTTACTCTTTTTAATATAAAGAAACCATTATTACCGGTTAAATCCTCAATGTTTACAGCCTTTATGTCAAAAATAAGTAAACTTTGGTTATTGATTTCCAAGTTCCAAATGTTTATCTATAAATCATCAACTGAGATAACAATTACTACAAAATGAAAATAATTAATAAATAATCAAATAACATTAAAATGTATCTTAAATAAAGTATTGAAGCATTGCTCTTATTAGAATTTGAATTAATACGATAGTCACGAGCATGGGCATATGCTTTTACACATCTAGCTAAAAGGTTGGTATCATAACCGCACTACAAGAAAAAAGGCTTTTTACGACGCGCAAAATACGACGCTCATTGATCTATGTTACGCAAAGGAGAGTGACATTAGAAAAATGTCATTTCTTCAAAAAATTTAAGGATAGTAGACGCGCATTATTGCGCGCCCTTAAATTAGTGTCTAAAAAAAACACGGAGCACACCTATAATAAAATGCGCGTCGTCTAAGGATGTCGCTTTATATTTTTTAATGGAACGCGCGTTCCATCCTTTAATAGTGGGGGAAAGGGGGAAATGAAATTCTGAAAAAATTAAAAACCCCGCCTTCCTTTTTTTCTCCTTTCCCTCTTGCCCAAATTATGAACGCTCCTTCCTTACTGCCGCCTACTTCTTCCCCCACTTACTTCTACCCACTAGAACCACCATATCTCCCACTCGATGTTGAAATTGTTAGAAAAAACCCTAATTATACTCTCAAGTCTCAATATTAGGAATGTGAATCTTGATTCTTGTTTGTTTCAGATTCCCCACAGATAAATCGAAAAACACACAGATGAAGAACCGGAACTTTGCTCCATTAGCTTCCCGATTGCATCTCGTCATCACCTTTGAAACTTCTGCGTTAGAGACCCAGGTCATCACCAACACTTCATCCACCATCACCGTTTGCAGCTCTCCAACCCCATCCTTGGGCGACCAATGGATGATGTTCCCGCAAGTCAATTTGGTGTGACGCATCTTGTCACTCATAAAACCACGCACCAACAGTTCGCTTGCAAGTCAATCGCGATGCAGAAGCTGATTAACAAGGATGACATCAACGTTGTCTTTCGAGAGCTCCATGGCGCCTACGAGGATCGCTTGATAGTCAATCGATGATTGTCGTCCGCTCATAGGGCCAATAAATTGAAATCAAAGGGTTAGGGTTTTGTCAATTTCTGGTTCTATAATTTTCTCGTTCAGTAACTTTTTTATGTTTCCTAATTATTGGTTTTGTAGTTTGTCAATTCTACAAGCCACCATGGCTTGCCAAGGAAGATGAAACGCTACTCACTAATTGCAGGGTGCATCACTTAAAACATTATTTCCAGATTAGTTCCCAAAAACGCAATTCAAGATCGCTAGCGATTGAAACAATTTTGCAATTGGAGATTGCTCCACCAGTTGCGTTCATAAAAAAACGCTACTTATATCAAAACCACCTACCATAGTAACAAGTGGGACATAGCTACCATTGGCATGTGATTTTGTGCGCATTATGTTATAAAAATGGAAAATTACAGAAAAGCCCTTGCAATCTCATTTCTACTTGTATATGTTTGATTTGAATAGATGATGGGAGATTAATGGATGATGTTGAAGCTGGAGAATTATGGGGTTTCTTTGGTGGATTTTCTCCACTTCCAAAGAAAACAACTACAAATGATGCTCAAAGTACTCATGCTTATCCTACTCAGCTACTTTGGTAATATTTTCTTATATTATTCTATTACTATTCTATCTCTTTATTCAACAATTAACAAAATTCTATTTTTTTTTCTTGTTTTATGTATCATAAAGGGAAAGCAATACCTGTAGCTGATGATTCATTGACAAAGAAGTTACTAGACACACACCATTGTTATCTTCTAGATTGTGGAACAGAAATTTATGTGTGGGTTGGAAGAAGTACTAATCTTGAAGAAAGAAAAGCTGCAAATGGAGCTGCAGAAGTAAACATTATATCAAACTATATAAATATAAATATAAATTTCCAAGGTTCTTATTATAATAAATAACGTATTGATTTACAGGAACATTTACGTGTTCATGAAAGACCAAAATCCAATATCATTCGAATGATTGAGAATTTTGAGACAGTTTCTTTCAGATCAAAGTTTGATTCATGGCCTCCACTGAGTGATGTGGTTGCATCTGAAGATGGTAGAGGGAAGGTGGCTGCTTAAATCTAACAGCAAGAAGTAAGAACAGGGAACAAAGAACAAGAAGAAGCAATTGAGGGGTATTTTTGTCCAACTTTCTGCTGAGATTTTTATTGAACTGAAAAAACTCTTGTAACATCATAAATAACGTTCCTACTTATACTTGAAAGAAACAAAGCAAACTAACTAGATGGGTTTATCTCTAAAATGCAGGAAGAAAGGATAATGACTAAAAGTTCAAAAAATAAACTAGATAAATTCTTCTAAACTTCTGGATTATTCCAACATAGGTCACCCAAGTAGAGCTATATAATCCAGCATTGGTTAAAACCTTGCTTTTTTAATAAGGTCTTGAATATAGAGAGAGGGTCTTTTGAAAATGAATGACTTTATCTGTGAAAGAAATCAATTTTATACAAGTGTGTTGAAAGTTCAGCGTCTGAGGATGATGTCTATCACTCATCCGTTTGTCAACATCTGGGTTCTATGAGCGAACATGTTTTTGGAGTCGTTGATTAAGGCTTTGTTTCATGGTATGAAAATAGTTAGTGATCACCATGTATGTCCACTTCAGGATACATTAATTCTACTGGTATGTGTTCTGGTTTTAATAATATTCCACCCCTGTAACTTTTTGATGCCATTATATCAAACTATATAAATATAAATATTAATTATCCTGATCTGGATGACTAATTGGTTTTGTTTTTTTGTTTGGGTTTCATATTTTGATTGGTGTGAAGGGTGAGATGATTTTTGATAATATTTAATGTGACATTTGTTTCAGGTTAACACAATGTTCCATTTGGATCAACCTATGTATCTTCTTGGGTTTCTTGCTAACCAGAGCAGGGTTTATCTCATTAACAAAGAATTCAAGTGAGTGGGTATAATAATCTTTAAATAAACAATTATCATCAACATTTATGCTAATTTCTTTTCTTTAATTTTTATGTTTTAGTCTCATTGGTTACACTTTGCTCCTTATGTTAATCGAGTACAAGACACTTGTGATGCGTGGAGACATAGAATGAGCTAATGGAGTTTTACCCTCAATCCCAAAGGAGCATTATAATAGGTAGAGTTTCAAATATTATATTGTTATTACCAAAATTTGTATCTTAAATATATATTATATTTTTTTACGAACTTATGGCTGCATCAGATATTGGAAAGTCTGTTACAACATCTCTTCCAGAGAATGTGGTAAGTAGCCTACCTTTTGCTTTTAAAATGATTTATATGATTTTAATAAATAATAATTAATATCCTTGATATTTACCAGATTATGCACACAACATTTCACATATTATTTTTTTGTTTTTTGTATGCCAAGATTCAATTTTTAATATTTTTTTATACCTTGGCAAGATTTATTGACTTTCCAACTCTCTTACAACATAAGGAGTGTTGCCTTTCTAGACTGAATAAACCATCTAAACGAGACTAAATGACCATTAAAAATGCTAAAAATGAAAAAAAAAATACGAGTTATAAACTAACCTTTGGAACATGGATGAAAACCATCCTTTCTTCTTTGAATCTACTTTCTTATTTGTCTCTGCTTCATCATCATCTGTGCATCATTCCTCTAATTTTTGTTTATTCAAATACATTTATAAAGATCTTGTCATATTTTTTTATGTTTTTTTTTTTTACTTTTCAGCTCTAGTGGAAGCTCTGTCTGCATTAGTTCTTGTTGTTCTGTTTTTTGGTTCAAAAATTTGGAACTGCAAAAGCGAGCTTTTTGTTCTCACCTATTATGGGTGCATGGAAATTGACTACTCCTTTTATTGGAATTTACAACATCATATATCATTACCCTTCTATTTTCAAGGCAATATCTCCACATTATATCTATCAATTCTTCTCAAGGAATGGCCATGAGGGATGGTTGTTGCTTAATGGTATGGTCCTTTGCATAACAGGTAAGAGCTTTCTTCCTTTTTTTTTTCTTTTTTTAATTTTTTTCTGTTAAATTTCTGGATGGATAAATGATATCTGTCTCTTGAAAGTAATGAATGAACATATAGACTGGTTATTTATTGAGTAAATGACCATTTTACCCTTCTACCTAGAAGTGATGCTGAATAGAGGTTAAGTGTTTTTGAATTGAAGTTTTAAATGATAAAAATTACTATTTTTTTGTTGACAAAACTACAAAATTGGTTTTGGTCCCTGAAAGATTTGAAATGACTTTTTTGCCCTTTTAATTTATTTTTTTTATGTTTTTTCATATATGTTTTAATATTTTATTAATTAAAAGTAAAAGGGAAAAATAGTCATTTCAACTTTCTTAGGACCAAAACCATAGGAATTTCTTGATTTTAGAACAAATCAATAAAAGTATGTTACTATTTTTTGCATTCAACTCTCTAAATAAATGATTATTTATTTTTTAGATAGTGTTTTACCTCCTCAAGTTTTGATCATTAATTTGATTGCTAAGTGTGCTCATAAGGGCACAGAAGTTAGCTTATAGTTCTCTTTCTGCTTTTCTAGCTACTCTTTTAATCCCAATCTGTCCTAACTATTTCTCTACGCCTGTTCATACAACTTCTTAAGGTATGGGCAATTGCAGATTCTAGACGACAAGGTTTTCTTGGCTTCAAAGAGTTTATTACTACAATGCAGGTAGTTTTTTAGCTTTATCTTCTTTCTCTTCTATCCACCATTTCTGTATACATGACCCTTTTCGGTGTGTGTGGTGATTGTAGTTGATTTCTATGGCACAAGTAGGACACACATTAAGTAGCGACCTCTTAAATTCTGATAGTAAGCTGTGTAACCACATCATCTTTTCTTTACACTTTTAATATGTAAATATGTAATATTTTAACCTTTGATTACCTTTCTTGTGTTCATGTTATCTTACAATGCAGTTGATTATGAAAATTTGAAACCACCTGTTATGGATAGTCTGGATGTCTTACTAGCTGTATGTATACCTTTCTCTCACCTCAGCTATATGCATGCCACTATGAGCCTAAAAACTAAATATATTTCTTGAAAGTTAACATGTTTGTTAATGTATGCAGAAGAAAAAGCGTCCAAAACGTGATCCTTAAACTAACGGTAGTCCTGCAGTTGAAATAGAAAACTCAGATCCTGATGTTATGGGGCCTCAAAAGGTTTATAACATTTATTGTGTTCATTATTTAAAGACATCATTTAAGCTTCATTTATATAAAGAATTAAAGATACATTTGATTATAATCAAGATTAAGGGAGACTTGTAATCATGTTTGGCATTCCTTTCCAGTAAGAAACAGAGTTGTATGATTATTTGTTAGTTTTATAGGAATGTATAACACATGTTAGCAATGTACTATTTTTGTTTAACATTTGAATGATTCTTTGTATAACATTATAATTTGTGCAATTTATTTTATATTATGCAATGGATTGTATTTTTTGTATATGTTATTTTATTTCTATTATAAGAAATTAAATGAAAATTTAATTTAAAAATTAATAAATATATAAATTTATTTTTTTTAAAACATTTATATTTACGATACGCAAAAATGTATGTCATCTTCATTTATGACATGGCCTTTCTTGACAGGGGCTTTCTTGATACGCATTGTGTGTCATTAACACGCGCGTCGTAAGGTTACGACACGCGAATGCGTGTCGTCTTCCTTTATGACAGGGCCTTCCTTGATACGCATTGCGTGTCGTAACCGCGCGTCGTAAATGCGCGTCGTCTATAGACGACGTGCAAAAGCGCGTCGTCTCTCTTTATGACAGGGCCTTCCTTGACACGCATTTGCGCGTCGTCTGAGCGTTTTACGACGCGCAATGAGCGTCGTA